CCGGAGAGCGCCACGATAATCTCGAGGGTCTCGCCGTCGCCGCCGCGGGGCAGGTCGATGACGAGCGGGGTGAGCCTCCGGTGGCGGCCGGCTCGGACGCACATGATGAAGCCGTCGGGCAGGTCCGCCTCTCCGAAAGAAGGCACCACATGACGAAGCCGCGGGGCAGGTCTCCCGTTGAGGACGCCGACACGTATGTCCAGTTCCTCGTTCAGGTGGAAGACGGACCTCCCGAGGAACGGGAACACGTTCCAGCCGTTCTCCGGGTACAACCCCTGGGAAAAGCCGTTCTCGGTGAAGAACCGGATCGTCCGCCATGCCTCTCGCTCTGGCGGCCCGAAGATGATCCCGGAGAAGCGTCCCAGCACGCGGATCTGCGGCATTTGAGGAGATCAAAGAAGCCCAAATGCGACCAGGAATTGCAATCGAGAGGCGAGAAGAGTCATGGCGAGCGAGCGAGCTCACCGGAATCGGGGGTGGAAGGTCGGGAGCGGCCTCTCTGCGGGGAATGCGCTCGACGGCCCAGCGCGCCATGGTGCTGATGTAGTCGCCGTCGACGCTGACGCCGGTGTTCCAGCGGCGGTACCTGCCGTTGGCGCGGAGGTAGCGGCCACCGACGGTGCGGAGCAGGACGTCGCCCTGGGAGCCCGCCCTGACGACCTCCCACATGATGTCCGGAACCACCGGATGGTCGTAGTCGCGCTGCCCGGCGCGGGAGCCGCGGTGGCCGGGCGGCGCCGGCGCGGCCGTGCTGGCGAGGTAGCGGCCGTAGGCGGCGCTGTGAAGGAGCAGGTGCACGCCGCGGCCTCCGTCGGGGCGGAGGTGCACCGCCCACACCGCGTTCAGCGAGGCGCGCCCACGGCGGAGGACGACGCTCTCCCCGTCGTCGGCGGCGTGGAGGTACCCGCCGAGCGCGCGGTTCCGCAGCCGCACGTGGTGCCAGTCTGGGAACTGGTCCATCTGTCGGTCTCCGGCGGTGGAGGGCGGTGGGGATGAGAGGTTCTTGGTTTGCTGGGGCTCCGGCGACGGCGAGGCGAAAGCTGTTGGTTGAGGCGGTTACGCTGGGCGCCAAAGCTAGGTATTTCAAGGTCGCCGTCCCGGGCTGTGGGCAGAAGGTGGGCCTGCAGGCCGTTTTCCCGGCCCGGCCCACACAGGCTCGCTACAGTAGCCCGGTGAGGCGACGACGACAGCTGCATCAGGGTATGTTTCCTTCGTCTCCGACCCTGTTGTTGCGGCATCTCCTCCGTCGTAATGGTGGAGTTAGTGAAGTTCGTTTCAGAAGCATGGCTGGCGATTGTCCTACTAGTTGATGGCAACGTTGGCTCGTGCAAGGTTCCGACCGTGCTGGAACTGGACAAGTGGTTGTTGGAAGGCGGATCCGGTGCCGTTCACCGATAAGATCAGTTTGTTCTGGCGGATTCGGGATCGGGGAAGCACAGAAAATATTCATGTTCCACGCGCCACAAAGACTTTCAGATACTTAGTTATTTCTTGTTGGAGGTGTTTTCTGCAGAGTTTCAACAAGGTTGTATTCTCTCATGCTCTCCTGTTATTTCTGCGTGGATTAGTTGTAACCTTGTTGTTTTATTAATATAAGCATGTTGACCTAAAAAACAATTTGATGTTTGTCTTTCTTTGTCTATGTGTAATTGTCTGACATGAAATTATGTGATGTGATGATTGGAGCCTTATTGTTTGAGCAAGTTGGGCTTTCATGACCCCAGCAGCCAGCCCTCGCCCCCATTCGCCGCCCACCACCCATCACCCACCCTGGATCCATTGAGATGCGCCGCCGCTCTATGTCCCTCATGCCCATCTGCTTGTCGACATATGTTGAGCCCTACGGTGTGGGGCTCGAGGTTGTTTCGGGAGAAATATTTGACTTTGAACCCGTTGCGAAACGACCATGGATAGCAACGGGAAGCGCAGTTGTTTGTCGACCGTCTGTTCCTAACGGGTCATTCGTTGGAGCCAGATCAGGCATTGGATTGGGCGGCGTAGGAGGCATCGTTAATCCCACGGGTTCAGCGGGAGAGGCCAGTGGGGCCTCCTGGTCAAGGGCATTAGCATCCCCCTTATTGAGTTGCGGCATGATCCTAGGTCGCAAAATTTGGGAAATGGTCTTGGAGCATCGCGCGATCTTCCAAGATAGTGCCCATTGCTGCATTGCCAGACCACTACACCTTGACTTGTTCCACCATCGAACCATCCTTCTGGTGCCACATCAACTATAGTTCTTCCACGGGAATTTCTAGTTCGTTAGAACATATATGAAGTTCAGGAACAACAACCGTACCAGGGAGAAGTTCTTGTCAGAGTTGTGAGACATGAAAAACATGATGGACTAAAGCTTGTAGCGGCAGCTGTAGTTTATAGGCTACATTGTTGATCTTCTCGATGATGGGATAATGCCCCTAGAACTTGGAAAAGAGTTTATAGTTGGCGCGGGGGAACCGATGTCTGCACATAGGGTTACAGCTTCAGGAAGACACTGTCAGCCAACGAAAACTTGTGGAATGAGCGTTTCTTCTAAGCATTGAGCTTCATGTATTGGCAAGCATGGTGGAGATGCTGCTGGAGCAAGTCTTGGACGACCGAACGCTCTTCGAGCCATGTGTGCAACAGTGACACCGAACATGTTATATCTGTTCTAATTCCCTAGTGCTTAGGCTCATGACCAGCTTTGAAAGGAGTCATTTCAATAGCAAATTGGTGTGAGGAGTTATACCAGAACTATGTGAGAGGGGCCCAGAAGCTCCAGCGGCGAGGACATGCATGAGTGAAACATCGCAAGAAAGTCTCTATACATTGGTTTACACACTCTATATGGCCGTCTTTCTGAGATGGTGTGATGGCAACATGGGGGTCTAGGAGTGAGAAAATAGACTGGAGGAGGAGTGCTGAGATGCTTCTATACACCCTTTGGAACATCTGGAAAGAGCAGAACCATCGCATCTTTTGTGGCAGGTGCATGAACCACATCGAGGTGCCGACCCTGACTTCTCAGGATATCAACTAGAGGGCGATGGCTTTTCCTATGCCACAAGCCAGCAAGGGTATTGGTTAATTGCATGAGTGTGCGTCGGGGAGTTTTCATCAAGTTCCTTCCAAAACCATATCAACCATGTAAATAAACCATCTATTTTCTTCTTCTATATGAAAAGGCAGTGCTCTCACCGGTTCGGGAAACAAAAAAAATTCGCTTGTAAGGCCAGCTAGTCTAGACAGATAGGAGCAGAATGGAAGAGCCGATGCATTTAGATCTTTCTTTGAAGCATGAACTGTAGAACAATTTTTCTACGGTGTATTATATAAATAAATAAGTGTACAAAGTATTTACAATAGGTACAGAAGTCACCAAAGGCCTAAAAAAGTTTAAACATGTTTAGATCGATCTTCGTTCTTGCGATGGAAGGCCAATCACTCAGCAAGCCACCCAAAGTGTAGGTCGGTGCCCTCATCATCTACCCTATCTCTTGAGAGTAAAGCCATAACCTTACCTACTATACACAAACATGTGCTTGGAGCCGCACACACACAAACAAAAGCACGGTGCACCTGGTTACTGTTTGATACACATTTTGTGGGTAGCCATACACGTGTGTTGATAGTAAACAGTAATATTAGACATCTTAAACCAGCAAACAAACCAAATATTTGCACACTATTGGTTACGTATACACATGTTCATGTACTCGTTAGATAGTCTGTATTTACAGGTTCAATTTCATACTTTACATCTTTCTATTTCAGTTTCATACTTTACATCTTGCTATTTCAGTTTCGTACTTTACAACCTGGTTTCAGTTTCTTACTTGTACTTCATAAGTTGATAAAGGGATTAATACATGCATGCAAATAGCAACAACAACAACTAAAATTGTGTATACATGGAAGCCCAAAACTTTAGTTTATGTTAACTTTCAAGAAAGACAATCTTTTAAAGTGATCACTTTTTAGAAAAGTGTATTGAGCAACATACAAGAAAAGTACAATTATCTAAATCAACATACTTTCTTGGTTGTGCTGAACATGCAAAATGAGGAGATATTCTCATCCACCAAGTATTTGTGACATGTGTGTTTCTTATATATATTTTGATTTGTATTTCTTTTATCAGTCGACTTAGCTATTCCAAAGTGCAAGATACAAAAAGAAGCATCTCACTTGAAACTTAATTATACAGTAGCATGTATATATGCCAATAAAGTCAATAATTTTATATTTTAAAAACATTATATATCACCCCTTTCGAAAAATTTAGTTATTTTGTTTACTTACGCTTCAATGCTTTCACTATTCTTCACATCAAATGCTTGACAATTAATTAGAAAACATGGAAAATATTGTTCGATATCATGTACCAACACTTTTCATTAATTCATGGAATAACTTTAAGGTGATGGCTAATTATCTTATTAACATAAATATCTTTGTTTGAAAGCACTTACTAATCAGATGTTTGAATGTATGCTTATATCAACAACAACAACATATAATTTTCAATTTTACAAAACTATACTATTGTCTGCGAGAGGTGTAGTTTGCTAACATGTGCAAAACAATGTCAATGCCTCACATAGAGACAACTAGACTAATAACTATAAAAGAAAGAGAAAAGCAAGTGAAAGAAGCCATCTAAGGAATAAAGAAACAAGCCACTAAAAGTAATATGAGTAACGGTTGATATTAGTATATATAAATAGCTATAGGTGTTACCCAAACACATATCAACAAGGACAACTTTAATACAATAGTGTCACTAAATTGATTGCACACCTATATTCAAGTCTTTCCATGGAGAAGGTCCAAGTTTTCATCGTCGGAGCGGGTCCTTCTGGGCTTGCCACAGCAGCATGCCTATGCAAACTCTCTATACCATATATCATCGCTGAGCGTGAAGATTGTATTATGTCGTTATGGCAGAAATACACATATGATCGCCTCAAGCTCCACATCGCCAAAGAGTTTTGTGAGCTACCCCACATGGCATACCCAACTGATTGGCCGACCTACCTTCCCAAAGATCAATTTTTAAGGTATATGGAGGATTATGTCAAGCACTTCAATATATCCCCAAAGTTTAACACTTTAGTTGAGTCATGCATGTATGACGAGGTGAGGAAATGTTGGGTTGTCATGACACATAACAAGGTGGATGGCCCAACTATGTATGCATCCAAGTTCTTGGTTGTAGCAACAGGTGAAAATAGTATGGGATATGTTCCAGAGATCGTTGGCCTACAAAGCTTTCCTGGTGAAACAATCCACTCATCAAGTTACAAGTCCGGAAATGATTATGTTGGGAAAAGCGTGCTTGTTGTTGGATGTGGGAACTCTGGCTTTGAGATCGCCCATGATCTTGCAGTGCATGGAGCTAACACTTCCATCATTATCCGTAGTCCGGTACGTAGATTTCACGATCCCACTTCTATTTTTTTCTTAGTTTCTCAGAAAAATCATGGTTGACGTTGTACTAAACAAGTTCTTACATGGGTAATTGTGAAGTTGCATGTTATGACAAAGGAGTTGATCCACCTGGGCATGGTACTCTCAACGTGGCACCTTCCACTGAAGCTTGTAGATCTTATTCTTATGATCCTCGCATATATCTTATTAGGTGATTTATCAAAGTATGGAATTGTGAGGCCTAATATTGGTCCACTCACCCTAAAAGCAAAAACTGGTCGGTCTGCTGTCATAGACACTGGAACCACTAAGCTAATAAAAAAAGGTGATATCAAGGTGAGAGGAAAATCATGCTTATAAGTATAAATATATACATACTATATGGGGAATCTAACAGACTAATTTAAAAATATTTTGTGTGGCAGGTATTCGGTCCAATATCATGCATTCGAGGAAATCTCATAGAGTTTGCAGATGGGAATGAGAGGTAGTATGACGCTATTGTGTTTGCCACAGGTTACAAAAGCACCACTAATATATGGCTCAAGGTATATAGACATTCATTTCAATTTATCTCAAAGAACACCATTATTATTATTATTAATATTATTTATATATAACATCATAGTAATATGAATAACGTATGATGGTAAATAAGTCAAACAAAATTTCTAGCTTAAAAGGACAATCGGTTTCAACTTATAGTCATACTAGTACACAGGTATGTGCACAACACGTCAAATCTCAATTCACGGATACAAAGCTTGCTTGCTTCAAGCACTGCACCTTCGCATGGAAAGCTTCATCGAGTCAATTGTTGTAGCCGTTCGGTTTTGGATGTAAAGCTTTACATGCTTAGAATTAGTATCTTATACTACAACTAGCTTAAAGAAACTTCATCAGAACTTTCAATTCTCGTTGACACGATTAGTATGCACACTACAAATTCTCACGATCCAGCTACCAATACGTGTGCCATGACCAGCATGCATATATTTATTATAGCTGACAAGTGAACTTTATCTACACTAAAAAATAGCGATGGTTCTAGAAATCAGCAGTATCTTCGCTATACTGTATCCTGTACTATAGCTTCAAATCCCAACATTTTGAGCCATACCATGGACTTTATGAATGACACGCTGCTTTTTGGTGTTGAGATTCAAAAGTTTAAAACTCATACACTATATATAGTAGTATAGAAATTTTCTCCAAACATTGTATCATATTTTTTGAAATATTCTTATAAAAATATTTTAATAAATGCAGAACGACATGAGTATGCTAAATAGTGATGGCATACCCAAAAAAGACTTCCCCAACCACTGGAAAGGTGCAAATGGACTCTACAATGTCGGATTTGCAAGGAGGGGGTTGGCTGGTATTGCACATGATGCCAATATTGTTGCAAGTGACATCCATACCAACATAGAAATGACATATTTTAATTAAGCTCTCCTAGTACTTCATCACATTTTCTAGATCATTCATCCTAAAAAATGATCTCCGAAAATGTCATAGCTTGGTTTGTTGTTAAGTGTTTATTTTTGTGAAGTTGATTTTATTGAAAGGGATGCAATAATGTATTGTACTTGAAGTATTTGAAGGAAATATGCCCTAGAGGCAATAATAAAGTTATTATTTATTTCCTTATATATCATGATAAAAGTTTATTATTCATGCTAGAATTGTATTAAACCGGAAACATGATACATGTGTGAATACATAGACAAACAGAGTGTCACTAGTATGCCTCTACTAGACTAGCTTGTTAATGAAAGATGGTTATGTTTCCTAACCATGGACAAAGAGTTGTCATTTGATTAACGGGATCACATCATTAGTTGAATGATCTGATTGACATGACCCATTCCATTAGCTTAGCACCCGATCATTTAGTATGTTGCTATTGCTTTCTTCATGACTTATACATGTTCCTATGACTATGAGATTATGCAACTCCCGTTTGCCAGAGGAACACTTTGTGTGCTACCAAACGTTACAACGTAACTGGGTGATTATAAAGGAGCTCTACAGGTGTCTCCAAAGGTACATGTTGGGTTGGCGTATTTCGAGATTAGGATTTGTCACTCCGATTGTCGGAGAGGTATCTCTGGGCCCTCTCGGTAATGCACATCACTTAAGCCTTGCAAGCATTGCAACTAATGAGTTAGTTGCGGGATGATGTATTACAGAACGAGTAAAGAGACTTGCCGGTAACGAGATTGAACTAGGTATGGGATATCGACGATCGGATCTCGGGCAAGTAACATACCGATGACAAAGGGAACAACATATGTTGTTATGCGGTCTGACCGATAAAAGATCTTCGTAGAATATGTAGGAGCCAATATGAGCATCCAGGTTCCGCTATTGGTTATTGACCGGAGACGTGTCTCGGTCATGTCTACATTGTTCTCGAACCCGTAGGGTCCGCATGCTTAAGGTTACGATGGCAGTTATATTATGAGTTTATGCTTTTTGATGTACCGAAGGTTGTTCGGAGTCCCGGATGTGATCACGGACATGACGAGGAGTCTCAAAATGGTCGAGACATAAAGATTGATATATTGGAAGCCTATGTTTGGATATCGGAAGTGTTCCGGGTGAAATCGGGATTTTACCGGAGTACCGGGAGGTTACCGAAACCCCCCGGGAGGTATATGGGCCTTAGTGGGCCTTAGTGGAAGAAGAGAAGAGGCAGCCAGGGCTGGTCCGCGCGCCCCTCCCCCCTTGGTCCGAATTGGACAAGGAGAGGGGGCCGGCCCCCCTTCCTCCTCTCTCTCCTCTTTCCCCCCTCCACGAATCCTATTCCAACTAGGAAAGGGGGGGGGGAGTCCTACTCCCAGAAGGAGTAGGACTCCTCCTGGCGCGCCTCTCCTGGCCGGCCGGCCCCCCTCCCTTGAACCTTTATATACGGAGGCAGGGGCACCCCCTAGAGACACAAGTTGATCCAGGTGATCATATTCTTAGCCGTGTGCGGTGCCCCCTTCCACCAAAGTCCTCGATAATATTGTAGCGGTGCTTAGGCGAAGCCCTGCGATGGTAGTACATCAAGATCGTCACCACGCCGTCGTGCTGACGGAACTCTTCCCCGACACTTTGCTGGATCGGAGTCCGGGGATCGTCATCGAGCTGAACGTGTGCTAGAACTCGGAGGTGCCGTAGTTTCGGTGCTTGATCGGTCGGGCCGTGGAGACGTACGACTACATCAACCAAACGCTTCCGTTGTCGATCTACAAGGGTACGTAGATCATACTCTCCCCTCTTGTTGCTATGCATCACCATGATCTTGCGTGTGCGTAGGAATTTTTTTGAAATTACTACAAAACCCAACAGTGGCATCCGAGCCTAGGTTTTATATGTTGATGTTATATGCACGAGTAGAACACAAGTGAGTTGTGGGCGATATAAGTGATACTGCTTACCAGCATGTCATACTTTGGTTCGGCGGTATTGTTGGACGAAGCGGCTCGGACCAACATTACGCGTACGCTTACGCGAGACCGGTTCTCCCGACGTGCTTTGCACATAGGTGGCTTGCGGGTGACAGTTTCTCCAACTTTAGTTGAACCGAGTGTGGCTACGCCCGTTCCTTGCGAAGGTTAAAACAACACCAACTTGACAAACTATCGTTGTGGTTTTGATGCGTAGGTAAGATTGGTTCTTGCTTAAGCCCGTAGCAGCCACATAAAACATGCAACAACAAAGTAGAGGACGTCTAACTTGTTTTTGCAGGGCATGTTGTGATGTGATATGGTCAAGACATGATGCTAAATTTTATTGTATGAGATGATCATGTTTTGTAACCGAGTTATCGGCAACTGGCAGGAGCCATATGGTTGTCGCTTTATTGTATGCAATGCAATCGCGCTGTAATGCTTTACTTTATCACTAAGCGGTAGCGATAGTCGTGGAAGCATAAGATTGGCGAGACGACAACGATGCTACGATGGAGATCAAGGTGTCGCGCCGGTGACGATGGTGATCATGACGGTGCTTCGGAGATGGAGATCACAAGCACAAGATGATGATGGCCATATCATATCACTTATATTGATTGCATGTGATGTTTATCTTTTATGCATCTTATCTTGCTTTGATTGATGGTAGCATTATAAGATGATCTCTCACTAAATTATCAAGAAGTGTTCTCCCTGAGTATGCACCGTTGCGAAAGTTCTTCGTGCTGAGACACCACATGATGATCGGGTGTGATAGGCTCTACGTTCAGATACAACGGGTGCAAAACAGTTGCACACGCGGAATACTCAGGTTATACTTGACGAGCCAAGCATATACAGATATGGCCTCGGAACACGGAGACCGAAAGGTCGAGCGTGAATCATATAGTAGATATGACCAACATAGTGATGTTCACCAATGAAACTACTCCATCTCACGTGATGATCGGACATGGTTTAGTTGATTTGGATCACGTAATCACTTAGATGATTAGAGGGATGTCTATCTAAGTGGGAGTTCTTTAAGTAATGTGATTAACTGAACCTAAATTTATCATGAACTTGGTACCTGATAGTATCTTGCTTGTTTATGTATGATTGTAGATAAATGGCCCGTGCTGTTGTTCCATTGAATTTTAATGCGTTCCTTGAGAAAGCAAAGTTGAAAGATGATGGTAGCAATTACACGGACTGGGTCCGTAACTTGAGGATTATCCTCATTGCTGCACAGAAGAATTACGTCCTGGAAGCACCACTGGGTGCCAGGCCTGCTGCTGGAGCAACACCAGATGTTGTGAATGTCTGGCAGAGCAAAGCTGATGACTACTCGATAGTTCAGTGTGCCATGCTTTACGACTTAGAACCGGGACTTCAACGACGTTTTGAACGTCATGGAGCATATGAGATGTTCCAGGAGTTGAAGTTAATATTTCAAGCAAATGCCCGGATTGAGAGATATGAAGTCTCCAATAAGTTCTATAGCTGCAAGATGGAGGAGAATAGTTCTGTTAGTGAGCATATACTCAAAATGTCTGGGTATAATAATCACTTGATTCAAATGGGAGTTAATCTTCTAGATGATTGCGTCATTGACAGAATTCTCCAATCACTGCCACCAAGCTATAAGAGCTTCGTGATGAACTATAATATGCAAGGGATGAATAAGACTATTCCTGAGCTCTTCGCAATGCTGAAAGCTGCGGAGGTAGAAATCAAAAAGGAGCATCAAGTGTTGATGGTCAACAAGACCACTAGTTTCAAGAAAAAGGGCAAAGGGAAGAAGAAGGGGAACTTCAAGAAGAATAGCAAGCAAGTTGCTGCTCAAGAGAAGAAACCCAAGTCTGGACCTAAGCCTGAAATTGAGTGCTTCTACTGCAAGCAAACTGGTCACTGGAAGCGGAACTGCCCCAAGTATTTGGCGGATAAGAAGGATGGCAAGGTGAACAAAGGTATATGTGATATACATGTTATTGATGTGTACCTTACTAATGCTCGCAGTAGCACCTGGGTATTTGATACTGCTTCTG